ATCATATCCAAGGACCAGTGGTGGGTTTCAAAAATTTTTGGAACCTCTTCTGTAGGTGTGGCCTGCTTTCCGGGTCCACTGTTGGAACCTCTTCTAACCGGTTCGGTAGATTTGACGAACCGGTTCTACCAAATAGGTGCGAACTGGTAGGAACCCACCTCTGCTGTAGGCCCTCAAAATTGGACATGTGCTTGTAAAAAATATTTTCTATGTTATTGCAAATGATGAAACATAAAAGGAGATGACATGTTTTGTTATTTGGATATGCTTCCAGGAGTTGCTGTTACAAGCCACACTGCACAATGTCACATGAATGCTCTTGACCCAAAAAATAAAAATTAACAATCCAAAAGGCAATGACAACAGATAGTCTTTGTTTAGTGAATGCCTCATTTAACAACTATTTTCAGTTACAATGGTGATACAACCAACCGTCACATTTATAGCCTTTGCAGATCTGGAAAGCAAAGAGAAGCTGAAGTAAAATAGCAAGCACCATTTTGTGAGACAATAAATTTTCAACAGTCTATATTAGTGTTCTGAGGGTTTTTGTCAGCAATCTATTTTCCAAGATTCTTGCATGATTGCAAGAGATTGTCACTAAAATACGGCAACAGTTTTCTGCTTATGTATATACTGAAATACTGAAAACATAAGCTCATTCATTATATCCAACCCACTAGTCTACAAATGCCTTGATTTAACTAATTGTGTGATTATGCATTGGCAATAAATATGCAAAATAAGTAAAGTATTTCTCCTGGAAACCTTAAAGGAAAAAATAACCAGTCTATACAATCAGTATAGACTGACACAAAGAAATTGTGCTGTCTTGCTCACTCACATATGTGATGGTGATGGTTGTGATGGTTTTATTAATATTTCTCAGCAATTCCCTTCACCAAAAACCCAACTGTCCCCATTAAATTTAGCCAAAAACAAACCAATGCTAGTCCACAGAGCAATGGCCAACAAGTCCACAAGGTGCTTGAAAGTTCCCAAACAAGCTAAGTCCACTAGACAAATTAAATCTGCAATACAAGAGGGTTCATGAGACAAGAATCCAGAATCCACAAGGCATGATCCAAAGTCAAGGCACAGTGTCAGTCCAAAACAAAGCAGGAATCACAATGACCAAGAAACTGAACACTTTGTTCTCAGTATCATCTCCATCTGTCTCCTGTGTTAAATTGCCAGCTTCCGGTGTAGCCCATCAAGAGGGATGAAGCTGCTGCCTCATGAGTAGCCAAACTAACCTTTGCTTTTCCTGCCTTTTCGCTGCCCTTCCTGTTCTCAGATCAGGTGGAGAAAGCAGTTCCTCTTCCTAATCACTGACCAGCTGCAGTTCTGTGGTTTCCCCACCAGAAGCTTCAGGGGTTTTCCTGCTTCAGCTGTGCTTCAGCCAACCACTCTCTGTCATCTGCTCATCCGGTCACTCTCCCATTGACCATTTATCTCACTTGGCCTCATAATCCCCATCTCGGAGCAATCAGCTGACTCCCTTCCTGATGTGCTGGGGACTGGCTCATCCCCCTCCAAACTGACATCTGGAAAGGCATCTGGGGAAGCATCAGGGGCAGTCATCACAGAAATTCCTTACCGTATGGCAAACTCTCTCCCTTATTGGCAAGTAATAACATAGGCGTTCCCCTGCTATTATTAGGAGTCAGACTCAACTAAAGCTATATTCCCCAACTACCCTGATCAGTAATTTAGTTCATGGAATTGCTTCTCATTCAACTTTTTTTTTACCATTTTTTTAAACAGTGAGAATAGTCACCATTTTCCGGCTAAGACATTACGAGATTCTCAGAGCCACCTTCTTACTGATCCTCAATCTTGGAGAGAAACTAGTGCAGATACTGAAAAGAACAAACTAGGTAAGAAATAATTACAATATTTTTATAGTAAGTTTTAAAAGTATCTTGTTAGGCTGAGGCATCAAATCAGATCATTTCAGCCAAAGATAAAATGAGAACATTTTAGGTTCACAAGCTGAAAGTTTGGACTGAGCACATATCTTGGTACAGTAGACCTCAACTTACAACCATTATTTTAGTAACCATTTGAAGTTACAACAGCACCCAACAAAATGACTTATGATTGTTTTTCACACTTATGACCAATGTGACTGCATCCTAATGGTCACATGATCAAAATTCAGATGTTTGGCAACTGATTCATATTTATGACAGTTGCCATGTCACTGTCCTGGGCTCATGTGACCTTCTGACAAGCAAAGTCAATGGGGAAGACAGATTCAGTTAACAACCATATTACAAACTTAACAACTGCAGTGATTCACTTAACAACTGTGGCGAGAAAGGTTATAAAATGGCGCAAAATTCACCTAACAACTGTCTCAGTTAGCAATAGAAATGTTGGGCTCAGCCTTCCATTCCATTGATTGTGTTTTCCTTCTGGACAATTCCAGGGTTTGTAAGGTGGAGACATTGTTTTATAGTCATCCCACTTTTTTCTCTGGCTAATTTCAGTTGGTGCTTGGAGGGAATGGAGGAGAATTGACCCTTCTTTATAGGATTTCTTAGAGTTGAATACTGTTTAAGACTTTAACACAAGGCTGCTAGGCAAGGTCATCTGCCAGCATGGGGTCAGGTGCCATAAACCTGCAGATGATACTCAATTATATATGACTGCCCAAGTGATATAAAGCTGCTGTCTTAATACATGGATGTTGTTAGGTCTAGGTGGGGAGAAACAAGAGTCAAATTTAAACCCAGTGAGACAGAGTGGCAGGGTTTTTGGCTATCCCATTTCTGAGGACTTTCCAATTTTAGTTGCACTTCCCCAAATGACGATCACAGCAGGAGTGTCTGCATAGATCTGCATTGTGCACAGTGATGTTCTTTCCTTAGTTGTAAATTTTTATGCCTTAGTCACTATGCAGTTGAATTATTGCAACACATTCTACACGGGCTGCCATGAACACCACTCAGAAGGTACACAAATACAGAAAGAAGCAGTGTGAGTGGTTATTAGTGCCCTTTGGTTTACCCAGAGAATGCTTCTGCTCTTATTTGTCAGTAAGCTTCAAGGTGTAATATATTTAAAACAAAGAAATCATTGCTTAAGACAATATTTTTTTTAAAGGTATGAGCAATCCTGCATTATCTATGGAAAATGAAATCTAATCTTGCAAGTAAAGAAAACAACATTGGGTCTTAAAGTAAGTTCTTTTTTTGATGGCTGTTTCATATTTAATAAAATTATTCAGTATTTCTCAACTTTGGCAACACACAGATGTATGCTGGCGGGGGAATTCAGGGAGTTAAATCCATACATCTTCAAGTTGCCAAGGTTGAGAAACATTGCTTTACTTTGTAATTTCTGTAATCATGTAGAATGAAGCCATTAATCAAATTATTTTTCACATAATACTTTTTTGTAGAAAAAGCACTGTTGATGAAAGGATGAAGAATTCATCCACTATATCAGCATTCATCAACCAACTACTCAGTCCACTACTACATGGATGTGCTCAGAAAAATCTCAAGGCCTAATTAGCTGTCTCTGCATCATCCCTTGAAATATCTGTTGACACCTCGATTATCATAAAAATAATGGTTTGGCTAAAATAGAATATGGTTACCGTGCAAAATGGAAGTCTTGAAAATGACACATTGGGAATGATGGAAATCTTAATGTATACAGGACAAGTGTTAATCCTTTAGAGATAATAGGCGTGGTTTTGGATCAACATTTATAGTTCAAGTGAGCATAAATTTTATATATAATCTAAACACGCTTTTGGAAGCAGTTCTTGAATTTTAAATGGAAATCTTGCTTGTGATTTCCACCTGCAAACTACTTTTATTCCTTGGACTATAAAGAAAGCTTTCTCAGTTCATTGAGTAGCTTGTTTGTTGATTGCATATGAGCAAAAGATATTTTTGATTGCTGCCTTCAGTTGAGTTAGCAAAACTGTTTTAATTATAAACTAGCCTCAGGTTGGACAATCATGCTCATGCATACCTTTATATAAGGGCTAGATTATAATTTCTCTTATTTCATTACTGAGACCAAAACAAACTTCACATTTATTTATATATGTAAAAATAAGGAGGGTAGTTAGAACCATGCTCAGAGTAAGGCTTTTTGAAACTTTATGATAGTGAATTCAGGTACTCAATCTTACTTGAAATGATTTTTTTTTAAATTGACAACGGTCAATTTAAAACTTTGACCTAAGTTTGTATCAATAAGAGGCTTTGTTGTATCTGAGCATCCTTAAATTGCTGCATTTCTATTACCCTGGTGATTTACATATGAAGAGATGTAAATATCATGTAACACTCATGTTCATACTTTTACTGTGGTTCAGATTATATTCTTAATAAGATAACTGGATCTAGCAGAGACAAACTTTAAATGAAGGCTTTAATGAACTTTTATATGATCTAAGAACCAAATTTAAAACTTATGAAATTTCGGAAGCCAAGGAACTTAACAGTTTCATAGAACTGGTTTTATCAGTGCCTTTGCATGTACAGTGGAAGATGAAATTAATACATTTAAGCTGCACTTAATACAGTATGCTGTTTACATAAAATAGGTTATAATCAATTTCAAAATGGTCCATAAACAGTTTGGTTAGGGAAGAATATGAGAATTGTACATCTTACCAAAAAGAATTTAAGAAACAAAAAAAAGTTTTCAGAATCACTTTGGAAGTGACTTTAGACTTCTAAACAGGCACTACGCATAGATCTGACTGAATGACATTCCTCAGCTGCAGTTGTCTCAAATATTTTTTTAAAAGCACATTATTTTCTGTAGCTGAATAGATTTTAAATATTTCAGAATGGTCTTGTGGAGAATAAATGAGATAGCATGATGATATTGTGATGATATTATTACAACTGTAATAGTGTAGATTTGGATTTTTCCCTGATATTTTAATCTTTGAAAAATCTCAGTAGGATCTAATCACCAAAAGTGCCAGAATATGACCCATAAAATTTGGGATATTTGAAAAGGTTGTGTACTTCTAGTTTATAGTTTTACACAACATATATTAGCATTGACAATTCATTTTCATAGCAATGTTCTAATTATTTATATTTAGATACGGAAGTGATGAGAATAAAATAAGAATACTCCTTATACTGTTTAATCATCATATACTGTACATTGTGAAATGTTTTGCTCTGTTGGGTTGTCTTTAAAATTGTGTAAATTGAAGGGGAAAATTTGCAATTCAGTTCTCATACACTTGTTAAATATAAGATCTTACAGTATTTTTCAGTAAAATTCAAAATAACGGAACAGACATGTCTCTCTCAGCATGTCTTCATGAAAACAGACTGTCAGCTGTCCAATGCCAAAATTTTGCAGGGAAGGGACACTTGAACATATTCAGGTTGTAAGAGCCATGTAAAACTAGAGAAGAGTTTATGGTAGATATGAGATTTTAAAATAATGTATCTTCTTTTAATACATTGGGCATAGAATTAAATTGTTTCTTCACATTACAACCATCTCTATTTTGCTCTGGAAGTAAATGCTATTGACTTTTACAATCAGGAGACTTCCAATAAAAGGTTTGGGATTGGAGTGAGTAGTGAGATAGCAATCACAATAAAGAAAAAGAAGAGACATCTCTGCAACTTGGTATTCCAATCAGCCTTGTTCAAATTCCTGCTGCAACTGTGTGGGGAAAAGGATTCTGCACATTATCTGCTATACACTTGCATTTGGGAAACCACAACTTTGATGAACTGAAAACTAGGGATCTTGCCTGATTAAAGACAATTAATTGTAATCAATTACATCATTTTTGCTTGATTGGTTTATTGCTAGGATGGGCAATCTTTGTGTGTTTGAATGTGTGGCAGGGAAGAGCCTTGTCATTTTTTAACATTGTGTTTCACTTGTTATAGGATTCCCACTATAGTTTTATTTGATTCCTGTGTTACATGTGCACTAAACAATTTGGTAAGTGGGTATATTGTGATTTGGGATGAATGTAAGTTCTGAAGGGGAAAAAACACCTTAAATGATGCAGACATTGCTTCATGCAAGAGAAAAAAGAAATGCTTCTGTAGAAGCTGAATACAGCAGAAAGAATCTTAAGTATTTGTGTTAGAAATGTATTGCCGTATTAAGCAAGGATCTTTTAAAATGCCTATAGCACAACCGTGTACACATTGTTGGATTTATTCTATGTTTTTCATATATATTTTTCTAAAAATAGAAAGCAAAATATTTAATTATAGCAAAATCTGAACAAATTGATTTGAATTCTTCAGTGTTATTTCATCAGATTTTAAACATTCCTTTTGCACTTAGAAAATGTAGCTACTATCTCATCCTACTAACTGGAATCCAGATTAGTTGATAGTGAAAATCCAGCTGCTATAAAAATGATAGAGATACTCCTTGACTTACAAATGGTTGTTTAGCAGCTATTCAGTTAGTGGCTGTATGATCCAGACTGAAAGCTCCAATGGTTGCCTCCTGGGTCTGCAGTCACATGACCACTTTGGGCATTCAGCAACCAGGCTGTATGTATGGCTATGTGCAACGTCCCATGGTCACAAGACATTTTACAGCAATTTTGCTGAAAACCACACTCATAATGAATGATTGGCTCACTTAACAACTGTGGTATTTGCTCCACAAGAAGTGTTCACTTAATGACTGCCAGAAAAAGGATAACATTGGGTTGATAAATGATTAATCCATTTTATAGCTATTACAATTTACGACCATGGTGGACAGACTACATTACGTTCCTAAGTCGAGGACTACCTGAACAAATAATTATGTTCCAACTACATTTTCCTAACTCTTCCTGCACCTTTCATATCAGTATTCAAACTGAATACTAATTATCAACAGTATGTTTTGGTGAAACCATAGCAACTATGAAATTTCCACAGCAAAACTGCAGTTAGATGATAATCCTATTGACTGAAAATGTTTTAATCATAATTTTGTCTGATTTCTAAAAGGACTCACTCTGCATTGTACAAATGAATTAAAATCCATAAACGTAGACTTTAGTTAACTGCACACAGTCAAAACTAATCAATTACCTTTGTGAAATAGGTTTATGCCATAGGTTCGCCATTACAGGTATAGAGTAAAGGATTTGACACACAACCTTGTGGGGTACCAGTGTTAAGAATAAAGGCTGAAGAGATGATTACCTAATCTGACCCTTTGAGAGCGGCCAAACAGGAAATCCATAATCCAAAGGCAGATTGATTAAGAAAGTAATCATATTATAACAGCAACCTTCTTCAGTTTGTCTTTCTGCATAATTATCAGAAGTGCTGTACCATTTAAAATCAAAAGAACAGAACACAGTTGGAATCAACATGAAATATTCCAGTTTTACATAGAAGGTTTGAAGTCTTAGTTTTTAAAAATTCATATGTTGCTCATAGAGTAATGCAAGTAGAATTCCACCTTGAGTTTGCAAAACGGAATCCAACTTCTTTAAAGGAAACCAGCCTGTTTCATTCAAGATTGAACACTTCTAAAATCAAATAATTTCTGGAACACTCTGGGGATGGAATCTTCCATGGTGGGATGTTTGTACAGGCTAACTCTCATGCTTGTTATGATTGTCAAGACCATCGTTTTGTTGTTAATACAGAAACAGTAGTTATCGTGGCTCTCAAAAATGTGCACAAAAAAGATATTCAAACAGTGCAGAAAGGGATAAAGAGTGAAAAGTATCTCCAAAATCTAAGGGGATTAAATACTTTTTATTAGTATGGTGCCTAATGTAGTGCTGTATGAAGATAACCTTGAAGAAATAAAAGGGCAGTGTCATAAACATTAGATTAGCCTTGAAATGGAAGAGGATGAGTCATCTTAATTCTTTTGGACACCTAAACAAGCCCAGTTTTTGCATCCTAAACATCAAATCCAATGCAGTTCATGAAAACAAGAAAATGTCCATTTGCTGCACACCAAGCTAACTTTAGTGACCTACCATATTTTTTGACAAAGACATAGATTTAACTGTTCTATTATTTATGCCCTTCATGGCTTTTATGTTTATGTATGATTTCCTATTTTGTTTAATAATAGCAAGATTTTCAAAACTAAATAACTTTTTTTAAAAATTTAACATTTCCAAACTGAAAATATTCTCAAATATTGGCCAAATGCCAGATTGTACATAAAAGTGCAGGTCTTACAGTGTAGAAGTGCTTCTGTTTTGCTTTCTTTTGTATTCTTCAAAAACATACTGTGTATTTTTGTATTATGTTAACTTCTGGGGGAAAAATGAACTCTTTCAAGCAAACCAATCATGATTTAAATTCCAGATTCAAAAAGTGCATGGGCAACAAAGCATTGGTTTTGTTGACTTATAAGTCAACTGTTCTGCTGGCTTAGAGGCTATACAGCCAGTGAAACATCTGCAATTTTCTTATCACATGAAACTTAAACGGGGCAATTACTGAAAGACCTACTGCAGAATCTACCCCACTTTAATCCCAGAGCAAAAAGTATTCAAGTAGAGGAGCGAGGAAGCTTAATATATATTATAGAACACAAAGGCTATAACTCATCCCAGAGTAAATCTCAATGTAACATAATTGGAAGTAAAAGTTGAAGCCATGATATACCACGTTACAGAGCTTTCAAAGGAAAGGTTTATACAGCTCATGGCCAAAGTTGGATCTGCATTTTGAGAAAAGTGGCAGAACCAGAAGTTGCAAGCTTGTAAATTCATGCTACGTAGTATACCACATTATGTCCATTTTGCAAACAACACATCTAAATTGTAGTTTCAGATTATGAAGGAACAATAAGACTGACACAAAGAGAGTAGGATTCAATCTCAATCAGCCAACATGCTCATTTTCAGTGTTCTTGTGGTGAACACTTTTTTCAAAATACCCCCTTTAATATGAAAGGGTCCCATTGTGGCCCATAAGGACTGGAGGTATGAGAGTCTCACAATGCATAAACAAAAAAAGTGTCAGCCCTCTATAAATGAAAGTTCTTATAAGAGCAATAAGAAGCTATTTTAACTCATTATGGTTCCTGAAAGGGATGACAACTGAAGGATTCTATTTGAAGCAGCTTACTTCTCATTTTATTCAACAGCCTTGTGAAGTATTTGCAGCTAAGTTCCATTGTATGAATTATGAGTTTATTTTATTTTCTCCTTGCTTTCGTACAAAACATCAGTAAATAATTCCATTGCCAACATCATAAAAGGTATGGTCAGTGAAAAAAATCCACTATTATTTACCTCATGATAAAATAAGTCCAATATAGCATAGTTCAGATATTGATTTGGGTGGAATTCAGTGAGTTTTTTTCAACAGTGTGATGGACAAGAGGCATTTATGATTAGTAATTCATCAAGGCACAATCTATTGTCAACCTAGTATAAAATAGTCCAGTCATTACTTGAACTTAAATATACAAATCTCCCAGCAGCAGGAATACTAACTACAGAACTGCTATGTTTACAGCATAGTTGAGTTTTTGTCCACTTGGCAAATCGCAAGCAGCTGATATTAGGGTCTGTAGCTGCCAACAAGGTACATGAAAAACAATATTTAGTCCTTAAAAATATCTGATGGCATGTTAACCTTCTCCCCTACTTGCCAGACTGCATAAATTCAAGTAAGCTTTTTAGTAAGGCAGGTTATTGCTATTGAATGAGAAATTACACCTGAGCACAAAATTTGACTTTCAGGTCCTTCCCACTTCACTGATGAGCAGCAAACACATTATAGCCAGTTCTTAACAAGCATGAAAATCTAAAGATTTGCTCTTGCTATATTCAACCACATTTTGAGCACTCTAAAGTGACTATAGTGATGATACTTGGAGCAGCCAAAGTATGACTAACAGACCACACTGAATTAAGATGACAAAGATGTAAGAGGCTAGACAGGTACACAGACATGCCAGTGGGGTTTCAAATCAAAACCACAAGTCTCTTATGTAAGAAAACATTATTGAAGCCTTTATTTACAAAAGCTTTAAAAACAAATACCCTCTTATCCAAATGTCTTTGTAATTTTTCCTTAAAAGAAAAATCACTGCCCAGTTACATTATTGTAACTTTATGAGGATAAAGGAAAACATATTAAAGTACATGGTAGTTATATCAATTTGCTGTACATTAAGATTTACTCTCATTGATTTTCAGTGTAGATGACATGCCAAATGCTGCCATCAGCACTCTATCATTTCAGGATAAGATTTAGCTATTCCATACTAATAAAAGTCTTCCTTCACAATTGCTTTTTATGAGCCTGCTCTGCATGGTCAGGAAAGTACTTTGTGGTTCTTTAGTAAAACACCTATAAAATATACTGCTAAGATAGACTCAAAAAATAAACTAGCCTTACAAGCCTTAGGTAACTTTATTAGGTACAAATAAATTTGTTGTTTGACAACAAATATCTCGTGTTGCAGCTCCCAAAAAGGACATATCTTCCTATTTATCTTTGGATCACTTACTTACATTGTGTTCATCCATTTATGTATACAATAAATTAATATTTTAAAATAGAAAAGTATTAGGCTATAACTCATTGGAACGGGAATAAGGAAATGGTTTACAATTTTTAAATTGTTATTTTAACTGCAGCATTCCATCTTTCAATTATTCCTTTCAGACACAAACATATAAAAGGATACACCTACCTTCCATAAGGCTGCAAAGCAGCATCCCCCATTCCACCCCAAGCCGGTGCCCTTTAAATATTTGGCTATCAACTTCTATATATTCCACACATTTTAGAAGTTATAGTCCAATAAACCTGAAGGTTGCAACATAGAGGAGAAGGCTTGTTTTAAATGGAGAATACACAATGTTCTCCTAATCACACCTCATAAAAACTGCCCAGCAAATTTAGGCCCCATGAAAGGGACTCTCAATTCAAGAAGTATCCTTGAGAGATTCCTCCTGATTCCACCTAGTTGCTTCCATCAGAGAGCTGGCAGGAATATTTGGAAGACGAAACACCAGTTTCATAGTAGCTAAGATACCTGTATGTTTGAAGAGAGATCAGGCAATGAACGTGGCTTTGTTCAATGTATTTGAGACCTGAAAGACGCAATACTGGCAGATGAACCCTTTTTCTATCTCAGGGAAGAATATTCAGAACTTCAGATAAAACAGAGGATCTGACTCAGAGTCACTCTTCTAAAGTGCAAATGTGATGGTCCACAATTATGAATAACTAAAACCCCTTTACATCGGAAGGGATTAATATCCAATGGGGAAATTGATTACAATCAGCGTTTGTCCAGGTTTGAAGGGAAAGGCCAGGGATAATAAACCAATACAAAGGCCAATTAAAGTTTACTAGAAATGTCATTATCATTTTAGCTTTCCTCTTCTATCTACCACACTGTTCCTACCCGTGCTTCTGTACAGATGGGCAAGGTACATGGCAACATTTAATCCAGAAATGCCTATATATCAAGGTCAAAGGACTGGAACAGGAACAGTCAGGTTTAGTACATACAAAGGCAAGAGAAAAGTGTGCTGATAAAGAGGAAAGGAACGCCTTATTGTCCAAGGAATTCAACCAGAGATAAAACCTATGTACAACCATATTGAGCTTAGAAAAAGTGCCTTGTCATTTCATGTCATGATTGTTTGTTGGCTTCTTCTTCATATGCATTTCCTGTTCCATTCTGTACATAAGATGAACCAGAACCAAGACCATACAAATGACCACAGTACTTGGCATCATCAATGTGATCTTCAAAGAACATCTAAAGAAAATGTAAAGGACAAATTATTATAATTCGCCTATTTTTGGAGGCACTACTCAAAATACCTGTATCAAAAAAATCTCATTTTCAGATCAAACATAGAATTTAAATAAAATATATCTCCCAGTTAATATTTCTTGAAGTATATCGAGAAAAGAATGTCACAATCATTACCCTGCCACATAAATCAGATTTTAACAATAGTAACATAATGCATATGAAACAAAAAACAAAAGTAAAAGAGGCAGTCACATCTGTATGGTTTTCTTGCAACAATACAAATTGCTTGTCATTATTTTCTTTCAAGGTTCTTTTTAAAACTTAAAACTTCTCCGTCTTGCCAGCAGCAGCTTAGATGCTATATTTTGGTGTCTCCTACTAACGAAGTTATTTCTTGCTTAACTTTTCAAGATCAATCAAAGGTGGCATGTCATTTCGCTGAACACCAAACCAAAAAATATAAAAGATCTTACAAATTAGAACTGTCAAAAGCAAAGTAGGCTTTACGTATTAAAAGACTACTAAAGTAAAATGTCAGTGGTTTCTATGAAAACACTTAGTGGCACTATTTTTCAGTGATCTCTCAACTGTAACTAACTCAGAATAGTCTACTACTTCTCATGCTCATTTGCCAAATTGCTCAGAATTCTCTTTGTCATCAAGTATAATCCTCAGTCTGCTATGAAGCAATGTAATACTAAGCCCATTAGGGCTTTAAAGGTTAGTAGCAACACTTCAAATTGACCTTGGAAGTAAATATGGCTCTAGTATGGCCTAATTTAATTTACTATTAATTATAATAATATAATTAAATCACAATTACATTATAATTTAATTTAATTTACCATTACTATTAATCTAATAATTTAATCCTAAAACAGGTAGTCATCAATAATGGTAATTGGGACCAACAACAGTGCTGCTGAACAATGTGATTATAAAATGCAATTATTACATGACGTTACTGATTTAGGTGGGCAAATGCATCAAGTTCTAGTTGCTGTCATAAGGCAAATATCATACAACTGAAGCATCTCATAGTCACATTATTACCATTTGCAACCTCCAGCCAGTTTCCCAATTAATTTTACTGATCAGAAGTCAGCAGTGCGAGACACTGTGATGTCATAAGTGCAAGCAGTTACCAAGTACCCAAATTACAATCACATGACTGCTATGGCAACTATGAAAACCTGTCCTAAGTCTCCTCCTTCAGCACCATCAATATTATCATACACACAGACAGTATATATCTATCTACCTCTCTCATTTTGAAGAAGGCCATGCCTGTTAGTAGAGAATCAGATCCTGCTTGATGCTGAGGACCTATCCTTTCCAACTCTAACTGCTCAGCAACTTCTTGTAATCCACCCTAAAAAGGAAGATTGCAGCATAATTAGAACAGTTGAAAATATGACAGCAGGTCATTACTTTCCACTATTCGCCTATATGAGAAAACAATTTGAAGATCTACACTTTTGGTTTAAATCATAGTCAGATGTTCTTTAACACCATAGCAAATTATGACAGCAAAGGCCTTCAGAATTCTTGTTTATTATCATTCAAGCCTTTCCACCAGGGAAAGACACTTTTTTCAGTTCTGTTGTAATTTTGAATGGTCACTAAACAAACTGTTATAGGACTGCCTGTATAATACAAAAAGTATTTCAAACCAAAATCCCACCCATCTTTCCACTTTGCTTACAGTTGTTCATCAAGTCAGATGGGAGGGAAAATCAAATGTACAAATATGCACAACTGAATATAAAGGATGAGCAACTCTCCAATGGCTAAGAACAGCACTTAATATTTTGCTATGGAGAACTATAAAATGTGCATGCGGCAGTGGATATTTATTTATTTAAATTTATATTCTGCCCATCTTACTGTCAAACGACTCTAGATGGTTTAAAAGTTATCAAAACAACTTTGGAAAGTTGATTTAAATAGTCCCGATTTTCCAATTTTGTGCTAAATGTGTACAAGCATCTGTAACTTATACTCCTGCTTGCTGAAGTGGCTGAGTTTTGGACTGTTGAAGCATTAGCCTTAAGAGGGCGAAATCCTCAGGGAGGCAGGGCTGGTGA